TATTTTAATGTTGTTTGATTGTTTCATTGTTTATGTCTTCGTCTACGATGATAAGATTAAGTAGTGACAAAGTACTAAAATATGATTAGATTAGTACTTGACACTGCAATATATTATTATTAATAAGTTAATATTTTATAAAATTATTATTTAGAACAAGAAAACAGAATTATTTAGAATTATTTCATTAATGTTGGGCTTTTTCTTTTTCTTCATCCAATCAAGCCCACAACGTGTTTCGTGCATTTTGCAAAATAGCCCCTAAAAACGCGGCATTCAGGAGGTCGTGTGCTAAAAAAATATATTATACGGATTTTTTTGCTAATATTCATTAAGAAGTTTCTCAGCAAGCAATTGACATGCACAAGTTCTTGATTTCTACGAATAACCTTGTTCTTAGTATTTTCGGTCGGGTACCCGCATATAATATGTCGGGTCGGTCAAATATCGGGTATTGAAATCCCTACCCGAATACCCGATCGGGTAACCCGGCATTTTGGGCTTGGTGCATTTTATTGGGCTACTTATTGGTCATGTTAATGCCCAATAAATAAATAAATAAATAGAAGCGGCAATATAATTTTCATTTTTTTAATTTAATTTAATTTTATTTTATTTAAAGGGCAAAATGGTAATTAACTTCATCTTCCACCAAAATTCCCAAAGCAGCAGACTGAAGAAAGCTTACGCCACAGAAAAAGAAAAAAATGGCGGAATTCGTGGAAGCAGACAATGCAGAAGCCATAATTACAAGGATCGAACATAAGTCCCGCAAGATTGAAAGCCTACTCAAACAGTACGATGAATTTTCCCCAAAAAATAAAATTATCACAAAAAAACCCACACATTTTCGCATTTCGATTGCAGGTATAAACCAGTGGAAGCTTTGAAGACAGCTCTCGAAGGATCCCCTCCCCAGACCAAAGACGAACGTTGTAAGGTCATACATACATCCATTACATATGCGTTTTGTCTTCGATTCAGCTCGTTTTGGATTTTAGGGTTTTTTTTCCCCCAAAATTCTTTAATTTAGGTCAAATTGGTAATTGATTTTTTTTTTTTTTTTTCTGAAGTCTGCGAACTGGATTGTGGTACATAGGGCGATAATGGCGATAAAGGATTTCGATAGTTTGTTCTCGTCTCTTGATGCTGAGTACTATGATGTTCTCATGAAGTAAGTCAAAACCCCTCCATTACATTCTTGATCTCACTTCTTGTATGTGTGTGTGTGTGTGGAATTCTGTCATGTTAATTTTATTAATCCTAGTTTGTATAAGCCCTCGATTAGGAATGTTGTGTGATTGATAATATCGATTGAATTGGTACGATTGAGCTACTAGGCTATCACGGTGGTGATAATCGAGCTTCCGAATGGAGTTATACTAATAATCATATGGCTACTATACTATTGCTAAACGAGCTTCGAGTTCATATTGAATCTAATTATATATACTTCTCGATGGACTCGATAAATGCGTAAATGATTTTACCTAGTATCTAAAAGTTGATCCTTTTGTATCTTATTTTCGGAAGAGATAACATCGACAATTGACCTTTGAATCCTTTTTTTTCGTTCTTGTAAACATTGGTGCAGTTGTAAATAATCGGGATATAATTTGATAGAACTGAAATGGCCTGCTAGTCGTTTAAGTGGCGAAGACTTCTTAGGTAGCCGTGGAGAAAATGGCGTAGAGAAGTAGACTCGAACTTTAGGATCCTACGAACATACGATTCTTTTTTACGATACGTAAAATGAACATATTCGTATATTTGATTATATTTTTCCCATGTTTTTTGGTTCCAATATTCTCTCGACTTGTGTGTCTGTGTGTGTGTGTGTGTTTGTGTGTGTGTGAAGGGTTTTATTTTCAGTGTCGATTCTTGTATGAAGTTCTCCACTACTCATAAATATAGCGTGATGATATAGCGTGATGCGTCTTCTAAGGCCTCGTTTGGTTCACCAGAAAAGATTAGCCAACATAAGATTATACAATCTTACGATAACCCAATTTGTATAATCGGAATCGGAAAGGTCCAGTACAGAATCCCCCAATAACCGAAGATAAGAGCCACTCCCCCCTAATTTTGGGTTGACCTAAAAAGTTATTGCTCTAACCAAACACCAAACAAGACCTAATTATTCAATTAATCATGGCTTTATGTTATTAACCAAACGAAGCCTTAATAGATTAGGTTTCTATTGTTTGACTAATTCGTTGTAATGTGGTTCGTTAGGTACTTATATAGAGGCTTATCTACTGGAGATCGCCCGACGTGTGATCAATGCTTAAAGATCCACGAAAAGCTGACGGAGAAAGCTGGCTTGGGCTGCATTTTACGCTCGCTCGCCGACAAAGTTAATACCGTCTAATCCTTCGATTGTACGTAATTTCTTTTTTTCACCCCTATAATTTGTTGATTACATAATTATAAAATCCGCAAATTTGAGATGTACATCTCTGTTTGCTTCTTGAAAAGAACAAGTACAAATATGGGGTATCTCTCTCTGCATGTTTGTACAGGATTAATGTTTGGCTCTTAAAATGCACTTATTACACTGATAGATAAGATCAAGATGCTTTTTTTTATTTTATTTTATTTATTTTTTATTTTTTTAATTTTATTTGAAGTTTACCTCGGAGCAGTGAAAACTGTGTTTTTAAGTTGGTCATGAAATGTCAATACTCAACATCCATTATATAGGGGGAAAATAGGTTTGTTCAATAAAATAATAACAATAATAAAAAATAAATATAAAATGAAAATGAAAAAAGAAAAGTAAATTCAGATGATCAGAAAGCAGATTTTGCTTTTATAGGCCATAATGATTGATAAATGCTAAATCTGCATCCACAGCCAATGTATTAAAATTTATTAACATTTTAATATTTTTGAAAAAAATGATAGGGTAAAAATTACAGCAACTCTGGGTAATGTTAAATTATAAAAAACCCCTAATATTTGGATAATTACAATCAGCTCCTTCAATTACGAATTTGGATAATTACAGTCAGCTCCTTCAATTACGAATGTTTTTACACGTCCACCCATACAGTATTACAAATTTAGTGAAATATTTTAAATTATATGGAATGTTCTCCGGTTTGTACCCCGTTCTCATACGAGCTCCATAAGATGTGTATCTTGACTTGTAAATATCAGATTGTGGTGCATCAGAAATTGTATTTTTGCACAAATTATACAACATGCCACGGAATCTAGAAGATTCTCTTCGATTTGACATCATAAAGGTGAACGTGTAAGAAGATTAATAGTTGACTGATGATGGTAATTACCCAAACAAGATGAGCATAATTTAACCTTACGGGGGCCTAAATTTACCCAAGAAAATATTCAATTTTCTAATTTTTTTTTTGAATGAACAATTTGCAGTGGATAATAGCCGTTGGATTATAAGAGGCTAGGTTGATTCGTGTATCTCAATCCAATGGTTTTGGCTGCACTGAGTGTACTGTGCACACCCACCCTATCTACTACACTTCCAACTTTTCAGACATAGGACCTCAATGTAGTAACATAAATGATTTAATTAAAAAAAAAAACTAATAAAAATAAATAAATAAAAATTAATTAAAAGACAATGCTTTTTATGTCGGCCACAGCAATCATTATCCATAACATTGAAAAAAAAAACATTGAGAAAACTAACAATTGGAATCTAATCAATCTGCATAGCCAAAAAGCATATGTATTTCAATGATGGTAATAATATCTCATCTTGTAATAAAACTAATTTAAATTTTGTCTAAGTTATCTTATCCAATTAACATTTATAAAGAAAATAAAAAAGAATAAATTAAAAAAAAAAGTTGGAACAATAATCCTACATAATTTAATCAACTCAAATCTCATACTCCTAAGTCCTACCCAAAGCTATAGACACACTAAGAAAAGAACCTCTCTACCTCCACCACACAAATTAAATTTCCTTTACAATCTTTAATTTTCGGCGCAAAATTACCACACCGCCCTCGTCCTTGGAGCGAATACTTACGACCCGGTGCGGTGGTGGTGGGGCGGAATAACCGCGGCCCACGAGTTCATGGGCACGGGTCGGTGGTGGTGGTGATGGGTCGACCCGTTTGTGGTGGGTCGATCGAGAGACGCGCTTGCGGCCGACGAGGAAGAAGACGAGACCGCGACGCGCTCGCATTGCGGGCACATGGTGAGTGTGGTGGGAGGGCTCATATTCATGTAGAATTGTGGGGAGAGCTTTAGTGCCCTCAATTCCGTCACTTCTTTTTGCAACCGTCGGTTTTCGTCCGTTAGATTCTCGCAGCAACGCCTTAGATACTCGCAGTCGACCTCGGTTTGCTTCAATTTCGTCCTGCGATATAGATTCGTTTGGGAAAAAGTCAGGACAAGTTAATAACAATGTTAAATTATATAGGCTTCTACAAGTAACTAATCATCAAACAAAGATCATACTGG